CTATTATTATTATAAAGGATTTATATAGTGCCAACAGTTTCCGCAGCACTTTACAATATAAGGAAGACATTACAATCACAATACAATTCAAGACAAGATGGTAAGGAGGGCCCTGCCCGTGAGGGCTTACAATCTAAAAGGCTACTTTACAACATACACAGGGACCATGGGGAACAAAAGTAGCCACCACAATGATTGACCTCACTATTAACATAAATGTAGCTTAGTTGTGTATCACGCTGTAAATCCTCAAATCCTGTCTGAATTCATGTTGACACTGCCCTTCCTTCTGGTCCATGGAGAACTTTTGTTCCACATGGTCCCTGTGTGTGTTGTAAAGTAGCCACCTCTCCAAGCTCGCTCCTGCATGAACATGACAGGAGCGAGCTTGGAGAGGTGGCTACTTATTATTAATATTATTATTATTATTACTATTATTATTATAAAGGATTTATATAGTGCCAACAGTTTCCGCAGCACTTTACAATATAAGGAAGACATTACAATCACAATACAATTCAAGACAAGATGGTAAGGAGGGCCCTGCCCGTGAGGGCTTACAATCTAAAAGGCTACTTTACAACATACACAGGGACCATGGGGAACAAAAGTAGCCACCACAATGATTGACCTCACTATTAACATAAATGTAGCTTAGTTGTGTATCACGCTGTAAATCCTCAAATCCTGTCTGAATTCATGTTGACACTGCCCTTCCTTCTGGTCCATGGAGAACTTTTGTTCCACATGGTCCCTGTGTGTGTTGTAAAGTAGCCACCTCTCCAAGCTCGCTCCTGCATGTACTACAATCTTAATACAAATTAGTAAACTAAACTTGAGATTGTAGTCCATCACATGAGTGAGCTTGGAGTGGTGGCTACTTTACAACACACACAGGGACCATGGTGAACAAAAGTAGCCACCCTCCAGAAGGAAGGACAGTGTCAGCATGAATTCAGAGATGATTTGAGAATCTACAGCTGAGTGATACACAAATAAGCTAAAGTTCTGTTAATAGTTAGGTTACTTGAATTTATTTTTAAGGTTTAACTCCTGAGAATATGAATATTTAGTCAGTGCTCTAACAATCTACAGTTGTGTGAAAAAGTGTTGGCCCCCTTCCTGATTTGTCATTGTTTTGCACGTTTGTCACACTTCAATGTTTCAGATCATCAAACAAATTTAAATATTAGTCAAAGATAACACAAGTAAACACAAAATGCAGTTTTTAAAGTAAGGTTTTTATTATTAACAAAATCCAAACCCACATGGCCCTGTGTGAAAAAGTGTTTGCCCCCCCCCCCCTGTTAAAACATAACTTAACTCTGGTTACCATTTCTAAAGCTTTGGGACTCTAGCGAACCAGTGGGAGCCATTATCCACAAATGGCGAAAACATGGAACAGTGGTGAACCTTCCCAGGAGTGGGCGGCCAACCAAAATTAACCCAAGAGTGCAGCGACAACTCATCCAAGAGGTCCCAAAAGACCCCACAACAACATCCAAAGAACTGCAGGCCTCACTTGCCTCAGTTCAGGTCAGTGTTCATGACTCCACCATAAGAAAGAGACTGGGCAAAAATGGCCTGCATGGCAGAGTTCCAAGACGAAAACTGCTGCTGAGCAAAAAAACATAAAAGTTCATCTACATTATGCCAGAAAACATCTTGATGATCCCCAAGACTTTTGGGAAAATACTCTGAACTTTTTGGCAGGTGTGTGTCCTATTACATCTGGCGTAAGATTAACACCGCATTTCAGAAAAAGAACATCATACCAACAGTAAAATATGGTGTGTGATGGTCTGGGGCTGAATTCTGCTGTCTACCAAAAAATCCTAAAGGATAATGTGCGGCCATCTGTTTGTGACCTCAAGCTGAAGCGAACTTGGGTTCTGCAGCAGCACAATATCCAAAACACACCAGCAAGTCCACCTCTGAATGGTGAAGAAAAACAAAAGGAAGACTTTGGAGTGGCCTGGTCAAAGTCCTGACCTGAATCCTATTGAGATGCTGTGGAATGACCTTAAAAAGGCGATTCATGCTTGAAAACCTTCCAATGTGGCTGAATTACAACAATTATGCAAAGATGAGTGGACCAAAATTCCTGCACAGCGCAGTAACAGACTCATTGCAAGTTATCGCAAACGCTTGATTGCAGTTCTTGCTGCTAAGGGTGGCCCAACCAGTTATTACGTTTAGGGGGCAAACACTTTTTCACACAGGGCCATATGGGTTTGGATTTTGTTTACCCTTAATAATAAAAAACCTTCCTTTAAAAACTGCATGTTGTGTTTACTTGTGTTATCTTTGACTAATATTTAAATTTGTTTGATGATCTGAAACATTAAAGTGTGACAAATGTTCAAAACAATGAAAAATCAGGAAGGGGGGCCAACACTTTTTCACACAACTGTATATAATTTCTAATATTTCATAGCCTATAAAAAAGAACTTTAACTACTGATCCCTGTGATTTAGTTAGAGGATGACACTTCCCTTAGATGGGAAAAACTTATGAACTTGATGAACAGAAGAAATGTAGGCAAAAAAATATATATCTGTCTATGCATGTGTTTGTAAAATAAGTGCAAATAATCTAGAATTTGAAAACAAGGCAATGTTTAGTCTATATCAAGAGTAACCCCAAGTAAGAGTAACCAAAAATGGTACCCCTGATGTCAACTGTGAGCTATATTATGTATAAAGAAAGCTACACAGGAAACAGAAGAACAGGTACAGGAATCTAGGACATTAAAAACCAAAAATATTACGAATTTGAAAAGACTAGCAACTACACAATACAGACTTAACTACTAAATGGTCAATTATTTCAACAAAAGTATGATTAAAAATACCTTGTGGTGGTTCATTAGTAAATTTTATTGATGACTGTAACAGATTAATTGGAAACTTGGGGTGAACTTCTGTTGTGATCCATGTCCTGAAGCCCTCATGAACACTCTCTGTAACAGTGATTGTATCGAGTAATTCATCCATAAAGTCAAGACCCAAGTGACAGTTCTGGAGAAGTAACCATCCGCCATCTTGCATGGACTGACTTAGCAAGCGTCTGGCATGAACCTCTTGCCCCTGGCCCATGGAGATTGCACGACAAGGTGCATTCTGTGCAAAGTTGTACAAAAAGAGAAAAAAGAGGATTTTTGTTTTTACTGAAAGTGGCCAGAAAGTAAAAAATCATTTTGAGCAATCAAAATTCAGACCATTCAGACTTTAATCAGACTGAGCTAAATTTACCACTACATTATCATGCACTGCCATTTAAAAACCCAATGATGAATTTAGAATAAAGCTATGCACCATCACCGCCAAAAGGTGTGCCCATAGCAGCTACGCAGAGTAATATTAAAGTCAAAATATTTTTATGCTATTTCAAATGCGGATTAATCATCTACAATGAATGTTGCTCCTTGATGTTTACTCCCAAGTACAGTGTCCTATTCTATCTAACACTGTACTATTCTGTCTTTTTAACCAAGGATCTGGTGACAGTGCTATTCTCATTATTCTGTCCTCTGTAACATAGCACCTCTGATAAGATGCTGTTATTCTGCCTGATATAACTTAGCTCTATTCTGTCTTTAGTAATAGGCCACCTTTTATGACGTGTCAATATTCTCTTTCAAAGCATTATTTTTTCTTCTGGAACATAGCACCTCTGATAACATGGTGTCTGCAACATAGCACCAAAAAGAAACACTAATGTCATTCTTGCTTTGGAAATCTGACACTTTCGGCAAGAACCAATCTACTGTGGTAATAGGGGCTGTGATTCTGTCTGTGTTATGATGCCTTTACATTTTTATTATATGTGTGCATAAAGTAATTACTCTCTAGCTCTTAAAATTTACTCATGTTAAAAAAGTAGAAGTTATTTAAGCAACCTTACTGTATCACATTAAAAGATGATAACTGAGGGTCTACGACAGTTGGTGACATGATCAATGCTGCAGCACTTCTGGTCACATGGTCTCTCTTGATGAAGAAAATCACCATATTGGCAGATATATGGCCAGGGCTGATGAAACATTACAACCCCACACATTCACACCATCCTGTCCAAATAATTTGAGCAAATTATTTGGACAGGGTGGTGTGGATGTGTGTGGTTGTCACAACGTTGTCATTTTTGGATTGAGTCATCTTGGTCGTGTACTGACTGTTTCTAGAGTCCAAAATCTATATAGGACACAGTATTTTCTATGTGAGGTAATAATTCATTTAGTGACCGAGAACTCTGATATGACAGACAGGAAAGTTTTTGTTCTGCTAAAACATCAGACTTTCCAAGGCACCAAGTTACATTACATACTGCATCTAAAATTCCCAAACCTTATTACTTTGTTTGGAAATGTAAAGTAAAGATTCCAGCACAGACTTAAGTGTTAGCCACCAGTAGTGGAGGCATGTTTAATGTCATTCTTTGAAAGAATTGGTGCTTGTAGCTGAGAGTAACACAGGGAGTTCATGTTTGGGACCCTTTTTAAAAGATGCACATTTGCATTTTGTCTTACGGGTCTACAGAAAACCTTCTGGTGCTGCTCTCACTACTACATTTCATGGCTAAACTTTGAAAAGATCTCCACTTACTTTCCGCTGTGTGTCTGGGGCAGAAAGGGAAGGGTCCCTGATGGGACACAGGCAGCAAAACAAAAAAAAACAACTTGATAGGTACCTTAACCTTTTCATACTCTATTCAAAACTAAAAACAGGGTTTGGCTACACATACATTTTAAATATTATACTATTACAAGTGTGCTACACAGTGGGTATGCAAGAAACCACAACATGCAGAATGTATAACAAACTGTCTGATACACCATACCTTGGACTTGGATAGGCGCTCAATGTTCTCAGTAGGATCTGAACCCATTGACAGGAAACAGACCAGCAGGGTTCTGCAATCACTTTCAGCCCACATGGCCTCCATGTCAAGAATGAAACCCTCAGCAAATTTCACACCAAGTGATTCAGCTATATAATGACGAGCCTACGAAAGAATGATAAAAAGAAGTTAACTGCATAGTATTCATTTTGGAAATATTATGTGATGCATTTTCCATTTACAAGCCCAATAGGTATTTTCATTTGTGCATTTTAAAATAATACTATAAATCTGTGGCATATTTAAAAAAAAGCATAAAACTCCTTTATAAAAATGCTTATATTGTGTAATTTACAATGTAATCATTGTATTGTATCAGGACAAATATGTAATATATGGTGTTTACCTGAGCAATTGTCCGATCTGGGCACCAGCTACGAATAAGTAGCAATTTTCTGAAAGTATCCAACAAACTATCATATCCATCAGGTAGTGGAGATTCTTCAGGGGATTCCTTATCAAACCAAATTTTCCATGCCTTCTCATTCCTTGCTACCTGCCCCAAGAGGTTATTAAAGGGAGGCAAGTTTGATAGCTGTACCAGGTTGAGCCATGTCATATCTAGTATCCATTTTTTGGGCTTTGGTTCCACAGAATTTAGATCTAATGTAGCACCCCCTATTTGGAAAGAGGAATACAGAATTAATATTGTTCTGCAATTGTCGTATAGTCTATCCAGCAGTCTATCACAAAAAGCTAACAGGAAGGATTCCTAGGTTAGCTCAGGCCAAAGGGTTTTGCTCCATTCCCAGAATTCTCCATTGAACTCATGAGGGGCTTCTCAACCAACTTGTTTGACTGAAGCTCTCTATCTAAAGCTCTGATTATCAAAGTGTACTAAAGCATAGACAAAATGCACTTTAAATTAAAATGTTTTGTTTGTACCTTTGATGAAAGTCTGGAATTCATTATGGGAAATTTTCTTAGCTTGAAGGTCTATCTTTAAAGCCATTAGCAAAGTGAAGAGAAATTTGTGGTTTTCATACAAGCCTCGAACTGTATAATTAAACACCTCAAAGGTAAGATATTCAATAATGTTTGCAATTCTCTTGGCTGTCAGCTGGGATTTCACAGATTTCTCCATTGACAAGTCAAAGATGCCCAAGAATTGACGGAGGGATGTCTGATACATGACATTCACTAGACTCATTTCCACAATGAGAAAGTACAGGATGCTGCCACGCGTAGCTACAGGACGATATTCTTCACGAGCTGTATTAATCTTCAATTCGGTTTCTGCTGCAATTGTCAGCTTCTCACTGACCTTGAATGTAACAAGACATGTAGAACATATGTCATTCATCACAAAGAATCACAATGAAACACATATACACACACACACACAACAGTGTTTACCCTGTTTAAAGAATATTTGGCTCCAAAACAACATGGCTATTTTATTAAGCTGCAGAGAGACAAGTCTCCCTATATCCCTAAATTACTAGTACTGGGGCTCCATTCGGAGGTAAATATACTTAGCTTAAAGGTTAAGTGCACTTTTAATTCTTCACAGAAAATATGTCAATACAAACACCCATGTGCAGAAGATGAAGCTTACAGTGCCAGTTCTGCACATCTACTGGGACTGGCCGTAGAGAATAATGGCTAATCGCCATTATATTGCATGCATCCTTGAAAAAGCAGGATAAGCACTATCTCAATCTCTAATTTAGTGCGTGCACTAAGCAAAAGACATAGGGAGACATTTATTAATTCGGTTGCATGGCAAAGTAGTGCTAAACAGGGGCAGTCATACAAATTGTTAGGCAGATTTATTACAAGGTTACAGAATGAGTCATGAATTCCTACCTTAGCTGCTGTAAAGTAGTGCGGCAGAATAAAACCTGCCCCTGACCACTTAATTATGCGACTGCGCAGAGTGAAAATCTATTGCATTTTCAGGAATAAATCTGTTTCAGAAGTTTGCAAATTGTTGCACTTGGTTGCCCAGGGACACAGCTGGGACACATTGCTGAACTAGAGGCAGTCTGATTTGAGTCAAATTATTCTACTTTGCTTGTTGAATGTCCCCCATTATTCTCTATAGCCTGGCCTAAGTCATGCAGATTGTTTAAAAGGTTGCTGGAAGCACCAGAATTGAGAAAGTCTGTCCTGGTACTGGGCAAGCTGAGCAGTGTACATTTCACTTTTGGCACATATGAGGCATGTGATTGTAATGCTTTTTTTGGCTGTTGTACTTACTTAAACTTGCATATTTTCTTAACACACATGACTTATTATGTACAACAAAACTGAAAAAAGTTCAGATGTTTGCATGTTGATAGGGTATAAGCCATAAACCGACGTGCCCCCCCCCCTTTCCAAAGCATACAAGGTCACATGCATTTAACTTTGGGAGGGTACCTTGCAAGGATGGGGGCAGCAAAGCGAAATGACAAATCCCTGTCCATATAGCATCTTTAAACAAACTGGCAGGGGATCCTGAGTGACGTCATTGAGTGGTCATAACCATATCTGGCCAATGACATCACCCGGGATCGGTGACATTGGACATCGATCTGTCATTTAGCAGTGGTAGTGTTTACAAACATGGCCAGACTCTTTGGCTGTTCGAACTGTGAACAGGCTGGGTTTGGATCAAATTATTGTTAAATCCTAACCCACAGCTCTTCCTTAGTTATCACACTGCAGAAAACATTTTTATTAGTAGTAATAATGGATAGCAAATAGATAGTATAGGCTGTACCTCCTCTGCTGTGGTTTTTGTTATCCTAAGGACTTCAATCAGAGATTCATCTTCTACAAGAGAACCCTGGGTGCTGGTCAGACGGAACAAGAGATTATCTTCTAGCTCCTTCATTTTCCTCTTGTTTGAAGTTACTTCTTCCATTAACTTGACACGTTCTGCTTCCAATTCCTGGCAAAACATTGAAAGGAAATAAGGATGTATTTAAACTACAATGCTTTCTTGGACATAATTCCAACATTATTGTCATCAATGGACTGTAGATAATATATAACTCTGTATAATAAGATTCAAAAAGCTGATTAAAACAGAAAGTCTCTAAACATCTATATCTAAACATCTATAATTAATAGAAACCCTTGCTGAGAGAATTACGGATGCTGCCAATGCTGATCTCTGTCTGAAATTGTTTGCCTAGCAGTTATACTAATCTTCTGATTTCAAAACTTTCTGAGGATTTTGACATGGAATATGAATGCAGCAATTCAGGATGACTCCTGATGCGTATACTTGTCTTGGGTCAGCAACACAAAAATATTGAAGCCATTAGATCAAAATGACAGTGAAGAATTTAGCATTTTCACAAGGAAAAGTTAGCCCCTATTTCTGTTGGCATAAGTTTCTAGAAAAAGCTAGTGTTAATCTCAAGATAACTGGAATGAAGATGGGAACATTTTAATGTGTGTCTACTTGAGCATTAAAGTCTATGCCCTGACCAAAGAGAGACTTTTCAATTGATAGCATAAGGCAGGGCTCAAAATTTCAAGTCCTGAGCTACTAGCCAGGCCTTAAGAGTTACTCGCCACCAGTCGCCCCACCTGACCCCTACCGTGCCCCGCCCTTAACTCCGCCAGGTCAGTGGTGTGACACAGAGAACAGAGATCACATAAGGTATGTACTGTTCTATAGAGATGTATACAGAGGTGCCACTAGGGGAAAGCTTGCTGACTAGAGCACCTGCAAGAATTCCCCATTATAGAAAAAAAAAATATTATTAAACGTCTTTCTGAGCTCTGATCAGCATGGCACCTAGCACAATGCTTGGCTTTCCCTTTGCAGCACTCTGCATAGAGTCATGTGACAACAAGGGAACTTCCTTCCCTTGTTGTGCCAGGCACCAGAATGATCACAGAAGTTCTGAGCTGGGCAGCAGCTGTAAAATAATAATACATGAGCTTTCAGTGAGAACCAGGGGAGCAGCTGCACACTAGGCTGTGCGCTGGCTCCACTGATCTGGCAGTATGGAGCAGACAGTACTCTATAAGATCAAAATAGTGTTTAGGAAAATGTATTAAAGTAACTGTCACATTCATTGAGCAAACTAATACTGTAAGAGCAGGCAAGTCTTAAAGTACAACTTTTAATGACGTCCTTTAAATATACCCCCAACTCCCCCCTCAGTAATAAAGTACTTACCTTCATCACCACTGCCAAATTCTTCAATTTGCAGACCCGCTTGATGCTGCACAGCCTTTGCAAGAAAAACATCCCAGCTGGGTCCTGTGTCTAGTATGCACATATACCACAGTCCAATTTATTACCATGTATGGTCTGTACTCATAACGGTCCCCAGCCATCCATCAGAGTACAGCCCATCCATAAAATAATGGTGACATTTGTGGCAAACAATGAGGGAGAGATTTTTCCAACCCTAGAAGCCGAAGAGTACAGACTCTCTCCAAATCTGACGTGACTAGAAAAGATTACTACATCACCCAAATGCCCTTTTGCACAAAACTAAATACATAGCTTTATCTATTTTGGTTAGTTTAAACTAAACATAAATTTCCTGTCTAACTCCAAAAGCTGTAAAAGGCCCAGAGCTGCAGCATTTAGAATATTTATTATTAAAGCAAAGGAGATATGGATTATGTTGCCAGAAGCATTGAACATCACTATAAAGAAATAAGTGGGCAGATGGAGCACCATGGTACACTTTGATCCTTTCCAATTGTTCCGTTACGGAGAAAGACCTTTATTACACTGCAGAGGCTACATGAAATGAGTGAAGGGAATAAATACTCAAAGAAAACACTGAGCAATGTTTTGCTAAAATGTAAAGAGTGATCAAGTATTCGACAGGCAGATTTCTCAGATCTTCAATTACAGAGTACTGTCAAGAGGAAACCTCTATCATAAAGACTTGCAGATGATATTTTGTTTGTAGCATTGTTTTTATAGACATCAAATTCTAAAGAGGAATCTGTCATTAGATCCTACTGTGACCTGTGGGAGAGGATTCCAGTTGTAAAAATACTTAAAACTCAGCAACTAATCTTGTGTTTTTGCAGTTAATTGTGTTTTTACAGAAATAACTATATTTACAGAAGATGTTTGATGTCTGTGAAGAAAGGTCAAATGATTCTGCACACTCCAAATACCATTTGCATTCAAGTATGCATCCAACAAATAAAACTTGAGAGGTAGGCTGAATGGCAAACCATGTCTATAAAGTGTATGTCCAGCCAAAACAGCATTTCTTTTAATTCGTTTTTGGATAGAGTGGGGAAGGATTAAGCCCCTGTCAGGTTTTTAGTTCTATCTGGTACTCTGTTGGAGAGATTTGCTCTCACAGTGACAACAGCAAAATAAAAATGCTTTTTCAGTAAAGTAGAGGAATGGTAGAACCACAGTCAAACTTTTATTTCTGTCAGTGTCCCTGTTGCGGATCACTCTCAATGACGCCATTGCCACTGTTACAGTAAGTTAGGAGAAGTCTTTCTAACACAGCAGTGGAAATAATTAAATAAGAGAGATTCTAAGACTTCTCCACTCTATTAAAACAAAACACAAATACTTTTGGCTGTACATTTACCTTAATTGTTTTATACATTTTTCAAATTCATAGAAAGATGAGATTTTAAAGTGTCAGTACCTTTCTGCCTCATTGAATCAAGTTTCACCAACAGGATTTTCAATTTGGCATGCAAAGATATGATATGCAACACTAACTTTACTATCTACTCTGTACCCCCTTTTTAGGTATTTCAGGGGGTGTGCAATAAAGAAAAAGAATGGAAATTGAAGAAAACATTTGACACAATTATGCTAATTGTTATTATACAGGATTTATATAGCGCCAACAGTTTGCGCAGCGCTTTACAATATAAGGAAGACATTACAATCATAATACAATTCAAGACAAGATGGTAAGGACGGCCCTGCCCATGATTGCTTAAGGGAGGGGCAAGTGATACATGAGGAGGTAGCTGTGTGGGGATGAATTTTTGAGAAGGTGATGGTTCAGTGGTTAGGTTGAGGTGGGATAGGCTTCCCTGAAGAGATGAGACAGGTTGGGGTAAAGAGTTCCAGAGGATGGGAGATTGTATATATATACATACACATATATATAATCTCCACACACATACGCACACATATATTATCCTAGTAAATTATAGAGGCAGCACCCCAGTCCACCCTTGATCATATATATACATAAGGAAACATCCCTTACCTGTTTTTCTGTGAGAATGACACGACCAAGGAGCTGATCTTCTAGCCCTTTCATTGTGACAGTAAAGTCAATTACTGCAGTCTTTGCACTTATTTCAGGTGTATATGCTGGATTTGCCAACTTAGTTGTAATATATAGTGTAAATCCTTTCATAATATCTACTTCCTTATCACCAACCTTTACCTATAATAGACACATGCACACATATATCATGAAGCATTAATTTGCCATCCATGACCACAAAGTTTGGTGTTCAAATTTTTACATTTAAAGCAAGCATGTAATAAAAAAATGCGAAAGCTTAAAGTAAGCTGAAGTAAATTGTAATGAATAGATATTGTAAGTTACATTGTTGAAAGAAGACGGGAAATCCCCGAAATGGGACATAGACAGCACATAAAAAATACCTGACCTCTAACTTTTTCCCACCCTATCTAAAGAAAACAAATTGTCTGGAGTTCCACTTCATTAGTTCTGATTAACAGGCAAACCTGAATATGAATCGTTGACTTTCTCAGGTACTGTATATATTGCATTTTACAGCATATACATATATTATATGTACACTATGACAGCACATCACAACAAGTTTTAAATACTATGTACTTTGCCTTGATTTGACAGAACTGTGTATCTCTACGTATTGGGTTTTTTTCCCCCAATCTATTATATTATCTACTGAAATTTGGTTCATATATCTCTCATCTCTGCAGCTCCCTGAAGTACATTCTAAACAATAATATGAAAAAGTTATCTTACTTTAAATGTTGATCCAGATTTAAGGAAGTTTTTCTCAAGTACGTTGTCAAGTGCTGGATCGAGATCCTCCCCAACGTCTTCAATTATGAGCGGTCTTCCCAAAGATAAACTATCCTCCAGGTGAGTTCTGAAATACTTGTGATTCAGAGAGGTCACCTAAGCAGACACAGTACACAAAATGTGCATGGTTAATTACAAAGCATACAGTAAATGAACAGACAGTGCAATTCAAATTTGTGTTAAAAATGTTGAAAATCTGGTATATAACATGTTTTTTTTCTGTGCAGCAAAAATACCCAGAGAAAATGTTAAATGTATTTAAAAAAAAATAAAATAAAATGACCTTTGTTATTAAGACAACTAGTGATGTGCAAAGTGCAGCAACCCATGCTGCCCCAACAGTTTGGATTGCTTGATCAATTTGACTTCAGTAAACTGAAGTTTAATGGCTGCTATGGGTTAATGGATTCTGAATATAAACACTGATCTTCACATTATGCATTAAATGATCCCGCTTGTTTTATTTCAAGGGATTTAGTGCAAATAGTGAATAATACGGCAGATAAGTGCAAACCAACAACAGTGAGATAATAGAAAAGGAGAAAAAATAATATGTGTTTAGATACATAGAACTGAGTGCACAGTATTACTTACAGATAACAATTATTTTCTTAAAGTTAAAAATAAGCATGAATGCATTCAGTACTAGCCCAAATACATATATTCTGTGCTCCCCATGAAAACATAAACACTATAAAAAGATTTGAAAATAAGTTCATAAAACCACTGAAGTAAGAAGGCATGTTTCCAATATCCATAAAATCATTTTAGCAAAAACAATATAAAAAGAAATATAAAACATATAAGAACAGTTGCAAACTGAATCCTAAATTCAGAACTATACCTAATGTTTACTGCATGTGTCCCAGTTTTAATGTTTTGTAACAAAGACTATTATAAATAAAATTATAATTGGGATTTCATGTTTATAGCATCCCAACAGATTTATTAACAACATACGGCCATCACTATTCAGCGTTAATTACCAAGCTGCAGGCACATCATTGTTAAGTGTAACAAAAGTAGATTTTCAGACATACAGGAAGAAATGGTTATCACTATAAAATTACCAGTTGCATAAATTAAAAAGATATGTGTGTATGCCAAGCTAAGCGAGCATTTTAGAATGCATTGCTTAATTTTGGTTACTTAAGTTATCTTCATGTTTCAAACCCCCCGAGTTAAAATCAAGTTTAACCTGCCTAAACACCAACCATTAGAAGGTCCGCTGTTAAAGACTGCTCTTGAGACTTACTGGTTTAGCACGTAGGTCAGTTTCTAGCCATTCCGGTGCCTCAGGCAGGAAGCCTACTGTACAACCCTCCCGCACTCAATGCTACTAAAAACATATTCATACCATCATTAAAAAATCTTTTAGTGCAGAAGTGATCACATAGTGTCCAGTCACCCTCTCACATAGATCCTCTTAATTATTCACTTCTCTCTAGCAGTGTTACATTAACACATATGCTGCAGCTCCAATCTTTACTCACAGCCACCTTAAACTGTCCATTCTCCTTTACACTCCTCCTCACATATACAGTATCCATATATCATAGGTCAAATCCTGCTTCTTATGTTTGTCACATACTGCATTAATGGGTATTTTCATGTTGAGGACCAGCAAAGTTCATATTTAGGGCTCAGGAGCTTGCGTTTACTCACTCATGAAATGTACTTACACTGAAAATTTGGCTCAAGCCTACTTTAAAAAAAAAAAAGCTACTCATCCCCTAGATCTCCCTTTCCCTTACAGTCTGGTAAGCTGTTTTGAGGAACCTGCCTGTATAAGATGCCACTGCATAAAGGATGTCAGCAAAGCACATAATTTAAAGAGCCAAAGTCTTCTTCACAAAGGATAGTTGAATCTAAGGAAGATTGTAGGCTCTCAAAGGCAGGGCTCTCCTAACCCTCTTGTCTTGAATTGTATTGTAAATCACTGGGTGCCATTTTGCCTGTTGCCAAAAACCCCTTACTTTCAATATCCTCCTAATTTGATGAGAAAAAAAAAATACAAGGACACCTTCCTTACAGGCAGCCAACATTCCAAGGCATCTGCTTTGACACTATCATGTGACATTTGATGTCATTACCAGGGCCACGGCATTACCAAGGCATCAGATGACTCCTGGATGTCTGTAAGGTTGGTCTTTTAGAGTGCCCTATCTTCACTAGAAATATGAATACTGCTTTACCACTTAGGTATAATCAATTATTTTTGTAAAGCAGGAGAAGTTGGGGAACAGTGGTTAAGTTCTGGGATAGAGAAATGGAAAATCACCAGCATTTAGAAAATGTCATTTTTAGATCTTGCTGATCATTTATTGATGTCTCATCCGACAAGCCAATGTTGCTGGGCCATGAAGGGTCCCTTTATCAAGGTGACATATTGACCATTATACAGTAGTTTACTATGTCGCCCTGATGAAGGAAACTTGCATGGCCCCGAACTGTTGGCTTTTCTTTTTCAATGATCATCAAGATCTAAAAACAAAATTTTCCAAGTGCTGGTGATTTTCCATTTCTCTGAGCTTGAAGACACGCGGCGCCATCCGTGTTCATCACTGCGAGCACCACATTGATTATTGGTTCCAGACACTGTAAGGAGTGCAGGAGAAACATCCATATCAAACATTAAGTGCAGGGAGTCTCTGCTAAATTACCTGGGGGTGAGCAATGGAATAAGTGTATGGGTTGGGGGATTACATTTGTTTCCCAACTTCAGTTTCTTTTAACCTAAACCCTAACAAGGGCACTGATCCTATAGACTTTACATTATTTAAGCAAGTGTATGGATGACAGACAAATTTATAATTTTCATGTTTATGAAGCCTTATTTAAGAAAGAGGTTTGATAAAATTATGTAACAATGAGTTAACCATCAATGTCCCTTAAACTCTTTCTTCCCTTGTCCTTAACCTGTGGTGCTTTCTCACACTTCTTGGCCAGAGCAGGAACAGACATGCCCAGATATAATTGTTTGATTTGGCATCCAATGAATCTCTGACTGCCTTCTCCCAGGCAAATTCTGCATACAGAAGTCTCAAATAATTCAATATAAGAAAGAGAACCTTTTTTTCCTGATCCAGAAATTGTTTGTTGTTGATCATACGCTGCATAAGATGCATTTTACAAAAACTCTAGTAAAGCCTTATTATTATTATTATTATTATTAGTCTATCTAAGCCAATCAATTTCAATCTTTTAGATGCAATAAGGAAACCACTGGTTGCTATTGGTAATTGTTTTACTGGTAATCCTTCCTGAGTTTTCATGCAGTATGTTGTGTGTTATCTTGCCTGTGTGTCTGTTCGAATTCCTCCAAAAAAACAGCAACAAACTAACACACATGCCTAGTTACCTAGAAGTGGGAGGACAACTGGATCCCTGGATTGCCTTTATTAAACAATTTTTTTTAAGTTCTCCTTAAATGTACAGATCAGCATTTATGTGAACTAATACAACAAATGCAGTATATTAGTCCTGATATGTATGTTGTCATGGTAAAAAAGGAATTAAGAAAAGGGAAACAGAGTGATAACGTTTGATAGAGGGGTTTTCATGAAAGCATTAGGCACACTGAACAATTTTAAGGAACTCAAATAACAGGCAGACCAATTTATTAGAAAAAGGTTTTATGTAAGGGTAAGAGAGATGAGCAGAAACAGCAAATACTTCATACAGATTATTTTACCTGTAGTTCATTATTCTTTTCTTTATTTTTAATCCATATTTTCCCTTGACCTTGTGGGTCAATAAGGAGTGGAAAACGAGATGCTTTGGTGACAATAATTCCATTCTGGATGGACAGGTCATCACTGGGAAGTCCTTGAAGATTCCATTCACCAATTGTAGCATTGTCCACAAGCATTGAGATAAGGTTCAAATCCTAAACAGTAAATCAAAAGTGTGTTACACAAAGGTTTGGACTTGGTAAAGAGGAGCGAGACAAGAGAGAAAAACATCTGCATGACATTAAACCTTGAATTACATTTATACTGCTGTCTTCATGAGTTTGGGGTTCTGTCAAAGAAAAACAGCCTACAAATATTATGCCTCAGATTTGTGAACATGCAGTGCATAAGGCCAAACACATAGAGGGGCAGGACCTCTTGGGATTTATTTATCGTAAGTACAAAAATCTTATTTCCTTTATCATACATTTCACATGGGAATGGTAGATGATCTTAGACCAATAGGACATCAAAAAGCAATCCAACTGAGGAACCAGCAATAGCCACAGAGAGATTCAGCAACATGGACAACATACTGCATATAGTATAGAAGAAATCAATGGCTGAAAAGGAAGACTGAATAGAGAAGGGTCGATCACAAGAGCAGCCATGATAAAGGAAAGAGCATCAAGGCCAAACATGTCAGAATCAACCCAGGACAGAATCAACCCCGAGGGAAAAACTCTACCTGTGAACTGTGGCTAACCAAAATAGAGGTGGAACTGAGTACTGTCTGATGACAGCAGGAGAACTGGAACAAAAGCAGTTAACAGAGTTAACAGAGGAAAAAAGAATATATGTCCATATGGAAAAATGTGTACAGTTGTAGGAAAAGGCTAAATCCTAGTGTGCTGCTGATGAGGATGATCCCAGTTCCCAAAACAGAAGGTGAATATAGAAGGAAGTCACCTATTGCAGCGAGACTGTCCTCTGGGCGTTATTTAACAAACATGTTGCACCATTAAGTAATAAGCAACGAACCCAAAGTGAAGTAAGGCCCTACCTACTCACAAATCCAGTTGACAAGTGCTGGTGAGGGTCGTAGGTGGCCGGAAGGAATTAAGTCACTGTTGGTGGGCATTGGAAAAAAAAACAGAGACGGGATGATCCACAATGTATTTTAAACAGCAGTAGCAGTGGGAAGATTTTTTTTATGGAGCTGAAAGGTGGGAAGGAATCATGGAGTGCTATGTATTGGTGGTCTTCCATAGTTGAGTAAGCAAGTAGGTGATTTAAGAAGTTGTGTGGTAAGAGTGTTCAAACTTTAAGAATGGCTGAACAGAATTACAAATATATTTGTAGGAAAAACAGTTCATATAAGCTGCTTGGCCGATACGTTACTTTAAAGAATTTACAAAGATAAATCCAATAATATCCCAGAACAGAAGTCAAATATGGGGTAAAAGGTGGAAACTAATAACCTTAGTTCTGTTTTATTTTTTAAATGTCACCAAAGGCCTGACAGTTTTATTGTACTTTGAGAAGTAGTGGACTGCAATTCTTCAACATGAACTCAATCTTACAAGTCAGAACTTTTCCATTACATTGTCATTTTTTTGGTCCATAAACCACAAATGTCATTTATTCGAGTCTTTGATCCATGACAGGTACTCTATGCTTTTGCAACCAAGAAATATAGAACTGACAGAGAGAATTAATTAAAACGTCTGGCTCTTAGAGGAAACCAAAAGTGACAGTGAAGCCTGGACACTCTCAATCACCTTTCTCCAATAAAAAATGACATGGATTGAAGGCTGGGGAGTGTTTACACTGCTTGTAGAATTCAAAATAAACCAGCTCATACACAACAGACTTTTATGATTTATGTATTATGGTGTCTGACCACAAAGGGTAGCTTTGAAAAGACAGCTTTACCAAGTCACAGATCCAAATATTGCAAGCCTTGATCAAAGAAAATCAAACAGTTCTTAAGGTAATCATGTACTGTGGCTGCCAGTGATGTGCTATGAATATCATATGCTTACCATAACATGCAGCACTATATATAACAAAGTTATTCCAAGTCATCTGAAATGTGATAATTAAATATAAACTAAAATTGTGTAAGGAATAGGAAACACTGAGGTTGATTTTCTAAAGGTAAACAGGCTATTCACTTAGCTTAGTGAATAAAGTGAAAGTCTGCTGATTTCCATCATCCAATCATGTGCAAGTGTGTGGCTGTGTTTCTTTTGGAGGCTAAAGTATGTGAAAGATGTATTACTCATCTCAAAAACATGACCTCCAATTAATTTTCCCACACTGTGCTGGAAGAATAAAAAGCAGACTCTGGTTGCTTTAAAAGAGAAGTAAAACCTAACCTGTTCTTGGTTTTACTTCTCTTTTGGGTTACAGGAATATATTTACTAATCCCTGCTATTCGCTGACAGCTCAAAACTGCACTGTAGCTGAGAGGGATCCTGACAATATTGTTGGGATCCACCTGACTGCCTAATTGACAGCTGGCTCTGCCTTTCTAAAAACAAAGCCAACTGTGCCCGCCCCCTCCCCTGTCTGTCCCTCCAATGAGTGCTAAGGGAATAGAGAGAGGGAAGGGGGAAATCCCTGTGGGAAGCAGTGACTGAGTCCGTGAGCTGAGCAGTCAATGGTTACATGATTGCTCAGCTCTCTGTATATAGCACCGGCATGTGACAGCTGCAATGTTCCACGCCAACTCTAAGTATTGGGAAGAGTATATTTTACTCTCCCAATATGCCTCCTTTAATATGGCCAACAACAAGTTACTTTTTCAGAGGCATTTCAGCAAAAATGTAAAAAAAACAAAAGCTGACCCCCAAAAATTATATTTTTCTGGAAAAGAAAGGTGGGAAATCAGGTATTAAGGGATTAAGACTGACAGGTTTGCCTTAATTAATCCCAATGATTCCCATATATATCCATGTGCATATACTTAGGCCCAGACTCTAGCATGACATGCTCATAATATGCACATATAACCAAATGTAAACCACACACAGTCCAATAGCCAGTATCTACCAGCAAAATATCTGGTAATAGAAGTAGGTGATTCACTAAAGGAACTGAGCATCATGACTATTAACTTCAATTAACAAAGCAGGTACACATGAAAAAGGTAAACCAGATTTTTTTCACATGGATAATGTATTGTGTTAAGACAATCCACTTCTTTATTAAATCAGACTTAATGGGGTTGATTAAATAAGGCAAATAGGCTGTTCACTTTGCAAGTGAATTTGCACTTTGCAGGGACATTTTCCCCTTAGTTTAGTGAATGTGATGAAAGACTTTCCAAAGAATATCCAATCACATACAAGAAAACTAAAAACGAATGGCATGTTACAGACTAGTAGGGCTCCAGGAACTTTAGAAGGTTCTTCATGCCCGGGAACATGCGTATATAGTTGCAAAAGAATTATATTATTGTCTTGGCAGATAGAATGCAGATATGCTATTGTTGAGAGGGGCAATCCTAATATTAAAATAAGGTCGTCGCAGAAATGGTCTTACTTGCAATTATTATAATCCATGACAGACAAGCTCAAATATAAATACTACAGTTTTATAAAGGGTCTGTTTATAAAAAAAAATTTACACAAGATTCATAAAACGTTCACCCAGAAGTATCACATTTTTCCAATTGAATTAATTTAGAAAAAGGTGTAAATGTTGGATGAAAGCTGTGTGAATCTTGTGTGAAATCATTTATAAATAGACACCTAAGTGTTGTTTTTCTGGTAATAAAACATTCCAAAATTCCTAATGTAACATTACTCTCTAAGACACCTGAAGCAATGTGATTAGTGACATGAGATATTAATTTAATTAGACAATGCCAAATATGTTTTTTCAAATATTGTGCAGAACTAAACTTCAAGCCTAAGAGATACAATCTAATTAATCCAGTAGTTTGTGATTTTACCTAGTATGACTTTGTCCATGATATGAGTCATACTGAGGTTTTATGGCACCTTCTATTTGTTTCCCTGCTTGTGTGGTTACTAAAAATTGCTGAAAGTCCAGTAAATGGAGGCACAGGAGATGAGTCACTGGCCCAGCTGATTTCCTAACACAGCCACACCGAAGCAAAACTATGCTAAGAGATTTTTAGAGTACCATGACACCATGAGAAAAAAGGCAGGATTGTGTTCCTAGACATTTACTGGTACTGTATACGGCAACTGTACACTTTTTTTCAACTTTCAAAATAATTTTGTTATTTTAGCAATAAAATGTATTTCTTAAAGAAGACATTAAGGAAAAAAAATCCTGCTATTATCCTGGCGCTGAGTTTTCGCTAATTACCTGTGCTCAAGTGTTGTTGATCACCTCCTGAGTTGGACCTTCTCTTCGGCAGCGGTCTGAATGAGGCAGAACAAGTACAGATTGACTCGATCTTCGGGAGGCAAGTCTCGTGGTGGCTTGTAGGTAGCCATCTTGGCTGTGCTGGCTGAATGCTGCAAGATGTCTGTGGGCACGCAGACGAGTGCCCCAAATTCAAACGAGCACTAATGTTCAAGTATCTTAAACAACACAACCCCCACATACTACTTCTGCAGGAGACCCACCTGGTTGGGCAATAGGCTGCTGGCCCTGAGGAGACCTTGGGTGCAGAGATCATTCCATGCTTCACATTCCGCATACTCGAGGGGTGTCTCTGTCCTGATTAACAAATCTTTGCCCTGCTCAATTGAGGAGATTCACACTGACCCTAATGCAAGTTTGTTATTTTAGTATGTACCATGTGGTTGCAAAGATATATTATTGTCAATGTTTACCTTCCTGCACCTTATAACTCTACGGTACTGTATACATTGCGGGATAAGATCTCCTCCCTGGGTCCTGCAAAAACACTGTTTATGGGGGACTTTAACACAACGTTAACCCCAGCTTTGGATAGATCTGGTGCCGCCGGATCCAGCCTCTCCGACTTGGGCGATTGGGCGCTAACTGCTGGTCTCACTGAGGTGTGGAGGAACCCCACAATTAGGGCCTACTCTTGTTTCTCCGCCTCTTATAAAACTGCATCTCGTATAGACCTGGCATTTGCCGGGGCTCCCTTCTGCCTGACATTGGAGAGGTCAGATACCTACCTGGGGGAATCTCAGATCACTTGCCTTTGTGGCTAACCCTCCGTACTGACCAAAACAGAGACTGGGCCCTTTGGCGGTTGGCT